AATAGATTTGATATAATCATCTGAATTACCTGTTTAATTTGAGGTACATGATAAACGTATGTTATCATTCTTATGGTTATACTTTCTGTACATTAGTTGTTGACAGCAGGTCAGTCAGTGTACTACTTAACTTTTATTGAGAAAATTAGTGTTGATTTGGCAGTGCTGTTTTCATTAGACCCTATAATGAAATTTATGGGTGATTCAGCTGGTAATATGTTTTTGGATCTCATACTGTGGGGAGTTAGTGTAAATACTGTGTATTGTATATATTTAATATTATATACGATTTAAATTTTTTTTTAACACACATATTTCATAAAGGTAAATTTTAATATTTTCAGTCTCTCTGTTTTACTTATCCTGACTTGCTAAATCACTAATAACTACTTTAAAATACAATTTTAGTCAGCACTTTAATCCATATGTAATATTATTAGTTGTTTTTTTTTTTGTTTCTGTTTATTGCAGTTTGCGCAGAATCACTTAGTAAAAAGTAATAGAAGAAAACAACAGGATCATTTGAAGGGACGTGTGGTATATATTAACAAAGAAGTGGTAAACAAATTAAATATTCTGTATAATTTAAGAAAAATATTGATGAGAATAGCTAAGTGACATCGGTGAAACTGATTGTGCTTCAGGATAAACATTAATTCTATATAGTGTTGCTTTTAACAAGGAAAGGTTGTATAAGTTACAGAAACTGCTAATAAATTTCAATTATGATACAAGAGCATTGTTAAATAAATGCAGAAATGAAAATGTTCAAGGTGGGTTATTTGCAGATTAAGAAAGAAATTAAAAAGTAATATTGTTTTTCTATGGTGAAGAGTGGTTAGCTGTCAAATGATTTGTAAGATATTTTCACAAAACTAGAATAATAGTACAAAACTCACTTAACTTGTATTAATTTCGCAATTAACCTAACTAATTGCAACAAAATCTAAAGATCTTACAAATATTTACAAAATTTTCTGAAAACAGTCACCAAACTTTGTATATAATTATTTCGCGATTAGAACAAAACACGCTTGTAAAAATGGTACGTGTATTATTTTTGTTGATATCTAAATATTTGCATGTTACAAAAATTCAGTATTTCTTCAGCCTCTTCCTACTCTGATATCGAAGATAGACATTGTTTCTTTGAATAAAATTAGTTCTCCAGAATTGGTACCTTAACCAATGTCATGTAAATTTTTGAAATATTGTAGTTTTGCGCTGTTTTGAGTGGAAAAAAAAAAGAAAGAAAAAGGAAAAGAAAGAAAAAAAGCTGTACTAATCTCAAGCAAGAAAAGATTGCACGACAAAACATTTCCAAAGACATAGAGGGCATAAATGGGTAAAAATCTTTAAAAATCAATTGTGAAAATGCGTCGTCCTTTTTCGAGTTACAAAACCAAACTACTCCTAGATACTTGTACTTTGCACCTACAAAATTTAATTCCTGGTTATTGAAAGGATACAGAACTGTGAGCATTTTTATTACAAAATTTGAGATGAAGCATTTTTTATCTCAGTTATTTTTTTAACATTAGCTTGTACCTGAATTTTACTTGACGCAAAAATCCCTATCTTCAATTTTGTAATAGTAGGAAAATTTTCAACTTTTGAAGTTTTCGTAATTCAAGAGCAACAGTGAAATTTAATGGCAAATACACGGGTAAAAACCAAACAAATTTTCAGCTGACAACTTGTTATAACAGAACCCTGATAATGAAAAAGTGGATAAATCCAGTTGATAAATTAAAAAAAAAACTCTATTACATGGTGTAGCCAGAACCCGTATTTTTATCGGTCCTCGATACCTTAAAATCGAATGATGGCAAAATATCTGTCCATCTGTCTGCAAACAATGCGAGCGGCTAAACCGTTCGGCCGATTTAATCCAAAATTGATATTCTCCAATCTATCTGGCTGATGTCGCGGCATCTTGAATATCAAACCGATATATTAATTTTCGATCTTACTTTTCATGTAACCCCTTGGACATTTTTCAAATTTTGAAGAAAATTGCTACATTTTTTATTAAATATTGTTTTTTCTTTATTCTTGCTCTCTCTTTATTCTTCTCTCTCTTAAGAATTTCAACATACATTTTGGTCCTGCCAAACATTAATTCCACATTATTACATTGCATGATGTGAAATCTTTTCTAATACAGATAAAAATTGGGACATAATGAAGATCCCAAGTTTATTAAAGAGTGTAAAAAGGTTTATCAAAATATTTTACATAAAAAAATAATTATAGAATTTCCACTGAAGCACTTCTCACCATCAATATGAGCACAGCTTGCATTGTGTACTTTTCTAATTCTGAATAATTTTAATATGTAATGTATTACAAATATACATAAAGTGAAACTTTTTCTTAATTTTAGCTGCTGTGTACATGAATGTGTATTTCATCTTAACAAGTTTGTACAGTATACTACACTTCAGCCTAAATTTCTTTTCTTTTTATAAATTTACGAACATCCGAGCGCCTAAAGATGGCAATAAAAGAATTGTCTACACATTGTCATTGTATAGTACTTCTGTGAAATTTGTAATGCAATGAAAATAATAATGCAATGGTAATTATTGCATTGGTAGTTAGTGAACTCATATTGATGAACAAATTGTATTGGAAATACAATAATATTTGAATGCTGGTGTCTGTTTAAAAAAATTAAATTAATGACCGAAAGCGCGTGTGCAGGTTAAGGATTGATAAATGATTGCAGAAAGAGCAGTTTGAAAATGAAATATGATGAATATCATGAGAAAAATATGTGGATTCGGTGAAATAAATAAATTGTGTTCGGTAAGTTTATGAATATAAAACACACAATGAATTTTTAAACCTTTTTAAATTTTTCAAGTGTGAAAATTTTAAAAATTTGTCTCTAAATCTGAATAATAATAATATAATTATTCTAAAAACACATTCTAAAGAACTTAAAAATTGATTCTTTTAAATCCTGTATTTATCTCGCAAACAACTTTTATAATTTACTTATTTCACACGCATCTAAAAATTTTGCGTTAGGTCCAAATTATTTTCCTAATTCTTGAATACATTAATGTTTCCTTAAAAGCATTTCCCATCCTTCGTAATTTAAAAAATTATTTCCCCCCTCCTCAATTTATTTCTTTTTAAACAGTATGGTATTTATTCAAATATAGTTCAATATGTTATTCTTTTAAATTGTGGGTAATATTTATTTACAAATTATATGCTGGCATCTTGCCGTATATAATTATTGTAAAGAATGTTTAAATACAAATAAATATAATTAAAAAAGGAGGAGTTTATTCTAACTTGATTGGAGAATGTTTATATGATTGTCGAACAATAATTGTTAGAGATGAAAAAATCATCCATTCAACTTTATTACCAATTAAAATTGCAGTTTCAATTCATTTTACTCATATGCCATTAGGAACACTTAATTCTGATATAAAGATAAAACATTATTTAATTTTTGTGCTGTATAATTGGACAATGCTACTGCTTGTGATCTAATTTATATTGAATTTATTAATATTTGATTTAATCCCACTAACTTGAATTATTAAAAGTTAAAATGTTCATAGCAAGCCCATGTCAAGTTGAATTTTCCCTTTCTCATCAAAAAAATTAATTATTTTTCATTTTTGTTTACATACAGCTAATTGAAAATATGTGTAAACAATAGTGAGTGAATTGAATTTCTGGCCCATATTAGAAAATTTATCTTCTCAAGAATATCTGTTTTTTATTCATTCATTTTCTGAACTATTCCCCTCCGAAACTTAATATAAAAAATATATCCCTAAAATTTTTTCACTTGAAGGAAATAGTTTTGCCTTTTCTTAATACAGTATATCTTAAAGGCAGGGATCAACTTAAAACAGCATGCTAAAATACCCCAATATCAAGATTCTTATTTCTATTTTAAGACAGTAGTTGATGAATTCAAATACTCATTTGATTCTCATACTCAATTCAATCTGTAGTTGTAGTATTGTGGATCTCCGTTGAATTTGCGGTTTAATCAGTTCCCATGCCAAGTTTTGTAAAAACGTGTTTCTGCTTACTTTACTCTTTGTGTTTGATTCATAAATACAAAAAGCGTTGATGGCTGAAATATTCAAGAGGTTGAAAAATACAACCATTGGCCATCGATGTGTGTTCCTCGCCACATTGTATTTAGCAATAAGCTGATCAAGTAGATCTACTCCAATTTTCGTGTGGTTATAAAAAGTTACAATTTCAGGCTTACACTTGTCTCCAGTTTCTTCATCAATGCAACTAGTATGATGCAAGGATGATATAAGAATCACTGCCCGATTTTTTTTTCGGGCAGTAAGAAACAAGTGTGCAGTCTTTTTGGAATCCAAACATTGACGAGAACTGAGAGCGATGTTTGTTTGGCTGAAAATCCTTAGGGATTTCGGGTTTGTATTTACGGAGGGTACCAACGTAAGTGAGCCCTTTGGTTTCTAACAATGTATTGACCAACTTTACTGACTGTTACTGCTGAACCAATTTCTCCTGTTACATTTCTGTGCAAGCCTTTTATTGGTTCAACCAACCTCAGCACAACGTTCATTGGAGAATTACTCAAACGATAAGGTCCTGCTGGCTGAACACCAACATATGTTTCTAAGTTAAAGTATATACCATTTTAGCATCTACTAGTGCAAATGTTTTGATGCCGTACTTGGCAGGCTTATTTGGGATGTACTGTCTAAAAGGGCAATTGCCTCGGAATGCTAATAGTTGCTCATCTCTTGTGGTATATTCACTGGCAATAAAATACTTAGGGAAATTATTATTTACCATTTTAAAACCTCTGATAGGAGCAAATTTGTCAATTTCTCGACGAGAAGCTCTGTCATGTATTTTATCAAATCGTAAACATCTAAGTAAAAAATCAAACCTTTGTTTACTCATTGAAAGATAACAAGACTCTAAACCATTGCCTTTGGAGTTGTCCCATAGTTTTTGAACATTTGTCCTGGACATTCCATAAACTCGAAGTTCTGTTTCATCTGTAGGCCTGACATCTCTTTCACGTGAATATTTACATTTCAGATTGTCTATGTAAACATTTGTTGACTGTACAATTATATCATAAATATTACTATCAAAAAAGAGCTTGTGTAATTTTATTTCTGAGCTCATCTTCGAGGCTAATCCTTGTGAACCAGGAAGCTTCTTTATTATATTTTCTGCACGAGTTTTAGAATTTTTTTTAGGCAAACTGGTCATTCACTTTGTTTTTCCATCTTTCCCGATATAAAATGAATTTTGTGGCTCACCCTCAGACTCGCTGTCTTCGTCTGCTGACTACTCTGAATCAGTATTATGCTCACTTTCAGATAGGTGATCAATCTCATCTGAATCAGATTCTTCGGAAGTGCTTTCTTCCTCTTCATCCAATAACTCATCGAGCCACTTCTTCCAAACTTTGTGATCTGATGAAGTTTCACTTCTCATTCTTTTTTGTTGTGACATTGCTATCTATAGAAAAAAGTGTAGTTATAAAATCATTATAATTGAAAATTTAGATAAAAATTAAAAATTTGATATCAATAAAAATAATAAAATCAGAGAGCTTGAAAAAAATAAACAAAATGTGTCCAGGGCGAGTCAAAAAAAGTTTAGAAAAGAAAAAGCATAATAACATTAGAGAAAAAAATATTCATGTAAATAAACACTTACCTTAAAAAGTTACAAGAATGGTCGCATGGGGGACAGTAGCCAACCAGCCAAGAGATGTTACCAGTTCAAGGTAAAGAATCGTACTGAGTGAGCACTGACGGGCAGGCATTCAAGCTCAGATATACACGGACAGATACTGGCCTGCTCGAGGTGTAGTTCGGGGGAGGGAGGGAGATCTGAGAATAATAAAGGAAGTGGGTGACATATGTCAACCACGCGACCACTCAAGCGTTAATCAGGTATTGTCCTAAAAGATTTGTTAGAACTTTAAATCTATTAATTTGAGATCATAATGAACCAATTTTTTAGTCCGATACCTGGGGAAGGCTCAATATTTGTGACATTTTTTTCATTGTTTTTATGTAAATTTGCTATGTAACTTTTAGTTATAAAATGTTGGTTAAAAGAATAATAATATATACATGTAGTTGGGTACAATTAATGCTTTAAGTGATGTTGAAGAGTAGGTTCTGCAGAATTATATTTGGTATAACATTTTTTTTATTTACATTGAAAACCAATCCACTTCTTTCTTATATTTTTCCTAAAGGCAATTTCTGATACTGTGCTTTGCTAGAGATTGTTGATGTTGCAGAGAGCTAGAATACAAGACAAGTTCTTGTATTGTTTTGTAGAAAAACTAGTAAATTCAGATTTAAAATAGGTAAGAAATGAGCAGTATGGAAATTAATTTTAAAATACAAAGTTTTCTCAGAACTCTCAAGGAAAATAAATTTTCTGTATTCTTGAACATAAAGAATTTATTACCTAAAAATTTAAATGTTCAATAGCTGCAACATTGGAGCATATTTATAAAATAAAAATATATCTATTATCAGACTTACAAGTATACCTTTTATTTGAAATTAGTACATTCATAAAATATTAATTCAATTATGTATCATACATTTTACTTTAATTGTTCTCTTTAAGTGCTCTCCAAACTGCTGCTGCTCGTTGAACATCTGCTACTATTGGTAGCATAAGTAGTCGATTGCTTCTTCCTCCACATAAAATTCGGACTTTTGAAAGCAACGACTCTGCATAATTTCTGCAGTATCTTCTGAGCATTGAAAGCAGCTTTTCAATATAACGAACTCTCTAAACAGTATTTTTTTCTTTCTTGTTTTTCATGTTTTTTGTGGGGTCATAAATTATTCATTGAGGAAGAAGTAGATTCCAAAAAAAATCTGCCATGAAATTTCTCATCTTCTGTTTGTTTTAATGTTGAATAATTGAAAATATAAGTGTCATGTCATTTTATTTATTTAATTGACCATGGATAACACTATTTACTTTATTAAAATAAAACAATATATATCCTTAATTGTCTATGAGGTATTGTAAGTATGCACGATTAATGATTAAAAATACTTATAATGGACTCGCTATGGGCGTATTAGGGATATGGTTGCTTACTGTTAGTGACACTCTTGAACACACTTGGTTTACTCCTGCGTACCGTCCCATGTAAACTCATTTTTATTTCGAAATTCAGCCGAATACCCTTCAAAAAGATTCACAAGTGTCCGGTTACTTTTTTCCTTCGGCTGTCTGTACATTTCATCAATGTTGTTTAACTTCTATTTCTAATAAGGAACGCCAACAAAATCACTTCGAAGTTTCCAGTGCCAAAAGTCCAAGAAAATACGAACAAATTAATGATTCACGAAATAAACTAGGTTGCCAACTATTCCAGAAAACACTAGAAAAGAAAGTACAGGCGAATTGAAAATTAGAAATACAATGAAGCGAAACGCACAAACAGTTCGTGCTTGTTTGCTTGTCGTCGTATTTCTAGGTTATTTCCAGATATTTGAATTGTTGCCTCAGCTCGCGTGCTGTGAGGAAGCATATTGTCCTACAGGTCGGAGGGCATTTCTGAGATGACAGAAGAAAATGGCGCGTTGACTCGGAGGGTGTGCGCGTCGCACTTCCGTCAGGTCGGCCATTGTTTCGCAGCCTCACAAGCAGACGTGTTGCATATTATTCAATGGGCTTTATTTTTTAAACTGTATTGAACTCGTTAGTTATTTTTTTTCTCTAACTTCATAATGAACTATATATTCGAATAATAAATTTAAAAAAGACAATATTTTTTCTTTCATTTTGAAAATTACATTTCAAATTGACCTACTTTTGTAGTTAAATTCATTGATTGTATATTTGCGGGAATAAACAACTCAACACATTGCAAGAAAGCATTTATTTTATTTCTTAAGAAAATATTAATAAGTACAGAAATAACTTTTGTAATCTCTTTTGATTTTCTTTCAGGTGTGAAACCGCTTAAAACATTCCCCCTGGTGGAGGGCCGGATTGCCAGGACAAGTTTTGCAGTAATAGTTTGTAGTTTTTCTCTCCTCTTTTCTGTCGCTGGGAACTTTGCAGTCTCGATTTCCTTTCTTACTGTATATGGCATGAAATTTGCCATCAAGTCTGTGATATTCAAAACACTGTCCAATTCAGAGGATGAGCGCTTCGATGTTCGATGTCTCCAATCTCATTAGGTCATTAGAAAAAAATAATTAAAAAAAATCTAGTGGAGTTTTATGTTTATTACCTCTTGGTGGCTGATAACCAGGTTTTAAAAGAAATGGAATTTCATTAAACCCGGTGTCTTCAACACGACAAGCAATCCACGTGTCATCACTCTGTGTAATGTTGCTGCTGTCGTCTCCCGCGTCTATCAGAGTCCAGAAAACCTGAAGAATTTTCTTCTGCTTGACTACAAATAAATTCATCAGAATCACTTATATCACCTTCACTAAGTTCTTTTAGAAGTTTTTGTATATCTACGTCTTCCAAACTATCAATTTTGTTGTCGCTACTTAACACTTCCACACTGTAGAAACACTCTAAAGGAGAACGACAAGAATGAGTGTGGAAAAACTTTTTCGATCAGATAGCGTCTGTATGTATTTCAAAAGATCAACTATTTTCGATTCACGAAGTTGTCTCATTGTTAAATGGTGATCTTATCTCGAAATATGAACAGAAAATAGCTGTCATCTCTGAGATGCCCTCCGATTGAATCAAGGAATTGACGCTGTCATCTGAGAGATGCCCTCCGACCTGTAGGACGAGCCACCGTCCTGAGGTCTCCGACCTAAGCGCCATCGACGCCATGTCATCATATAGATGCCTTTCGACATGTAGGACGTTTAGCTTCCGACCACAAAGGGTTAAACTACGTGTCTCCGGTGTTTAGCGGTTGCCATGGAAACTATACCTCCCTTATTCCGTGCTCGTTTTAGTGCATGTTTATTGGTAGGACTTTTCGCTATTCTCCTGCTATTCTGGGCTTAAGCACAGAATAAATGTTACACCACGTTTATTGGTAGAGCTATTAACGTTTTGTCGTGGTCTTCTAGAGCTGCAATACCTAATTGTGGAGGGATGTAAGTTTACAGTGAAGAATAAAGACGTGTCTTTTGTTTTACCTGTACCAATATTTTCGTTATCAGCAGGGATTGGGTGAAATTTTTAAGCCAGCGTGTTCAGTGATGCAGCTTTCTTAAGAGTAAAGAGCTTTTTTAATATTTTTGTGACTACTACGAAACGCTAACTCAAATAATATTGAATAATTACTTCAAATATTTTCCAGAAAGTGTTGTGAATTGTTCCAAGAAATCCCTCGATAATACTGAATAAATCTTTATTGGACATTTATTTTGAACATCAATTACATTGTTTTTTTATTTTTGATTTTTTTGTTAGTAAATTGGAAGTAACCTTTATACATTTTTAAACAAATAAATACGTTTAGTTCACAACTCTTAGAATGGAAATAGGATAGAGAAGTGTGTGGGATTTAAGTGAGAGTTCTAGCACGGGTACGGGGAGGTAGTAGGAAAAAACTTGTGCTATGGCACGAAGAACAAACATTTTAAATTAACTAAAGTAAAATAGCTTGAAAGAAATGAACAACAATAATAGAAACGCGTTAGCCTACAATAATATGTGAATTAATTTAAAAAAAGCAACCAAATTTAAAATTGTTGAAAGTCACTCGACAACTGCCAACGATCACGCACGATATAAATGTTGGCGCTATCTGGAAGTCTATTCATCAGTGCTCAGCTGTTAACTCATTGTAAATAATATACCGTTTGATATTAAACTTAAGATGTCGGTTCGCTAAGATATTCTATACGTAAACATTGAGCAACATTCCCAAGTATCGAAGTGAAGTGTAAGCCTACTGAATTGTTTCTAATGGTAACAAATGGTATTTATTACTCAAAGGTGAAAATAATAGTTTTATTATTTTTTGAACCGGAATTTCTTTTTTTGGGGTACGTATGAACGCAGAAAATGGTCCAATATTTTTTAGTATACAAATAATTTTTCGCGCCCCAGCAAGTTGGCGCCCTGCCTATTCAAAACTCCATCTGTTACCACAATGGAGTTTGAAACAGATATTTTAATTTTTTGGGATACTTTACATGAACATGAACATTTTCAAAATTTTCCAAAAATATGGCTCGTATTTTTTTTATTAAATGTTGAATTAAGCGAAGGACGTTTAGGAGAGTGGTGTAGATCTTATTTTCGTTCAAACCATCAATTTTTCGAAATTTGCAAAAAAAAAATTTTTGTAAAAAACTACAAAATTGAAATAGATATAGAAATTTTTGCATCAAAGTATGTTGCACAAAAGCTCTTTAAGAAAGTCATGTTCAATTTTTTTAAATGAGTAGTTTTGCGTAATTTGCGATTGAAACTATCACATTCCCCCCTTCAAAAACAGCTCCAAATCTTTTTTTAATTTCCTCCACATATAAGGGATAGTAAAAAATTTGGCGCAAGACTCATTTTCGGGTATTGGTCGGTTTTCGAAAATTGCAAGAATATGTTTAAAAGTAAAAAAATTGAAGATAAAGATTTTTGCCGTAGACAAAGTCTGTTGCACAAAACTAGGTCTTTAAAAAATGTTATATAAGCTTTAAAAAAACGGGTAATATGCGCTTGAAACTTACAATTCCCCCCCCCCAAATAACCGTTCTAATTTTTAAAAAATATCTCCACGTATGTAATAACGAACGGTAAAAAATATGGTGCTAATCGCATTTTCGGATATTCTTCATTTTGTTTCGAAAATTGCACACAAAATTCAAAACTAAATTGACGATAGATTTTTGCCTCAAAGCCTGAGGTACAAAATTGGCTGTTAAAAAAGGCCATGTACAATTTTTTTTGTAAATAATAGTTTTTGCGTAATGTCTGTTTGAAATTAATGCGGCATTATGGGCGTTTGGTCGTACATAACGACATTGCAATATTGCGAGAAAATATGTACTGTTGTAGTACCGGTAGTTAGGACTCGCAACGCACGGATTCTGACTACACATGTTAGAGGAAGTAATTTACTCTCTCTCTCTCTCTCTCTCTCTCTATATATATATATATATATATATATATATATATATATATATATATATATATGGGGACGAGGTTTGTCCACATTTTTTATAGCTAAATTTATTTGAAAAAATTATATATTTATATGTAAATATATTATATATTTACTTGGAATAGGAATATTCATATCCCATCGTTAGTTCGATTTCTTTTGTTTCGATTATGTTGCGTAAAGGACGGTTGACTTCAAATGCAGACGCCAGCCGTTAAGGGTGGCTTTTCACTTCTCTTTTTCGTTGATGTTATAACTGTGCAGTATCAGGAACAGATCATGCGATTGATTTTGTTCATATAATTAATTTATGAGCCTCCACTACGTTCCAGATATCCATATGCCCTGTTATTACGGCATGAAAGTCCAATTCCGCGCTGAACAGATCCGAAGTTTAGCCGCGTTAAAATTGCGAATTTAGGTTAGAAACGCAAAGCCAGAGCAGCAATGGCTCATGGGTAAACAACATGCGATACACAAATCAATTTATAATTGAAAAGTGTTTTTGGAAAATTCTGTAAATCCAAAACAGTATTTCATGAAACGCAGAAAATTCGTTAATATCGGTTTTTGCTGAAATCTTGTGATATTTAATGTTAACTTATAGAATTTCTCGAGTTTACATAAATCTCTATTTTGGGAGTGATAAACGGGACAAAATATGCCTAAACGATGTATAACTGGTATTGGATTTTTTAACGTTTATCGCGTTTTGAAAAAACACTCCTGAATTATTTACGATGCACTTTACCCGACACAATATTTTTTTTAAGTTCGGTAAAGATTTAGTAAATATTCGAAATAATTTTCGTACGTATTCTTTCGATTTAGTATCAGAATGTTCTAGTTTTCAAAGAAAAAAATGAAGCCAGTATTTTACAAACTGAAGGAAAATGTTACACATTTAAATAAAATTTATTAAGTGGGTTTGTGAGGTTGAGAGCATTTTAATTCTTCCTTCCAGTTCTTAGTTCAGCAAAAGAATTAAAATATTTTTGATTCTAGGACTAATTAACATTATATTATATGAAAATTAGTATTATATTATTCACCGAAAATATTCGCAAACACCAAGAAAACTATTGTAAAAAGCAAAAAAAAAAAAAAAACACAACAAAATGCTGAAGAGTGTTCTGAATAAAAAAGAAAGGTCCAATAACTCATCAAAGCAGTTTCAGTTGAATAACATACAAATTCTTGACAAATGTGCCAATGCTATAATGAAAAAGTAATTCACTCTCACGTTAAGTTTTCATGATTGTCTTTCAGAGCCCACTTACAACGCGATGCCGAGACGCAGACCAAATGGAGGAGAGCGCGCCACTGGGCGAGAGCGCGCGGTCGTCTTCGGCGACGCCTTCCGGAACGTGACGCAAGGGCTGGTGTGCATGCAGGAGGCCCTGCGTCTGCAGGGGCAGGAGGCCATGCGGCGACAGGAAGAAGCGGAGCGCAGGCACCAGGAGGCCCTGCGCCTGCAGGAGCAGAGGAATGCGGCTGCGTTGCATGAAGCTGTTGGGCAGATGGAGGCCAAGCTGCAGGAGAAAGACGACGCTATCCATGCCCTTGAGCAGCGACTGAAAGAGACGCAGGAAAGAGTAGAGGTCGTGGAAGTGAAAGCGGATGGATTGGTGAGGTCTGCAGAGGAGGAAGGGTTGACGCGACTGGAGGGTCGATTGCAGGAGCTGGAGGACTCTTTGCAAAGGACAATGCAGAAGTTCTTTCCGCGAGTGGATGGCCTCCTGCGCCAGCTGGAGGGGACTCCGCCTCGAAAGGCTTCTTCTTTTCCCCATCTACCCTCTACGTCGTCGGGCGCAACATGCGGAGAGGCGGCGACTGAAGAAGGAGCTGCGGGCGGCCTAGAAGATAATCCGCCTCAAGTGGAATCCCTCGCACCCTCCGCTTCATCTCCCGCCTTTCCTCCTCCGTCCTCCTCCTCCTCCGCCGCCAGCGCCCCCGGAGCGTCTGTGTCGGAGGCGGCGGGACACCAAACAGAAAGGCCACACGCCGGTCAGGGCACACAAGCAGAGGATGAACGCGTCCAGAGGCAGCGCATTGAGCGCCGAGTACAGGACGTCAAAGGGAAAGTGAGGACTGCATGTAACGCCCCTTCTCAACATAGAGAGGTCTTGCTTTCGGCGATACGTAACGGACGCTTGGGAGAAATCGAACGTCTGCTTGATGACGGTGCTGAAGTCAACTATGTTAACAAAGACGGTTCTGTGCCTCTACTGGTTGCGGTCCAGACGGGCCAACTCGACGTGGTTGCCCTTCTCCTGCTGCGAGGCGCCGATGTGAACGCGGTCGACGAGCGCGGAACCTCCGTGATGCACTGGGCCGCGTTCGATGAGCGCTGCAGCCGCAGCCTGGGGCTGCTACTCGCGGCGGGGGGCGATGCCAACGCCAGGAGCGTGTCGGGGGTGACTCCCCTGCACTGGGCCGCGGAGAACAACGAGGCGGCGGTGCGGGCGCTGCTCGCGGCAGGCGCCAGAACGGACCTCAAGCCCTGGGACGGGCCTTGGGCGAACAGGACTCCCGTTGAACTCACCACGTCTGCAGAAATTAGAGAGCTTCTTCGTTCGGGACTGTAAGGCGGACTTAAATATTCATTACTTCACGAGTAAATTCTATTTAGTTTTTTTTTTTTAATGTTTCAAATCTACTTATGGCATGTAACACTCTTCCGCCTCTAGATGTAATGTTCAGATGTAAATGGATTGGAACAACGTGACTGCGGCGCGGGCGCTGCTCTCGGCAGGCGCCAGAACGGACCTCAAGCCCTGGGAGGGCCCTTGGAAGAGCAAGGTGCCGTTGCAATGTGCGTCGTCTCCAGTATTAAGAAATCTGCTTCGTTCATAAAAATAGTCGTAGAGTATTCATCTGAGACTCAGGACTGCGTGGCTACACATACGTGCAGAGGACTGGCCTACTTGTCGCCTTTATACATCCATTTGCTGCGTTTAGAATTGTTGCAAGAAGTCCAAATTATATTGGGAAGATGTCTCGTGACTTTAGCCTCTCGGTTGATAATATTATGTTTTTAATAGTTCTTCTTTTCATTGTGAATTTTCATTTTGTGATTATCTTTGTGATTGTTTTGAAGAATAATATAAAGTAAAGCTGGGCTTTCTTTGAAAATAATATAAAGTAAGTTTATACAAGATTTTAGACCTGAAATATGCGTGAAAATATGCCACAAAAATGTTGAAGTATGTACAGAAATTTGTTAATTTATGAAGCGTTTGGTCACAGAAACGTATTTTACGATGACATTACATGTATTTGCTACCCAGAGACAAGGAATATCCAAATTAAAAACATTAGTATCCACCTCTGCACATTTGATTTTGCATTAAGAGCACAAAAGCCACAAGATTTTTTAAAACTTATCTGTTGTTAGGAAGCGTTTCCTGTCGTGAAGTATAATTTTGTACGTATTATATTTCGACATCTCATGATATGTTTGTGCTCAATATATTGTAAGACGAACACTTTGAGTCCAGTTGAATTTTACTTTTCGTCTTTGTATTCTGACTGAGTACGGTTCCTGGTACCTTTTTGTTCCATTATTCTTCTGTTTTGCTTTATCAAATTTCGAATTTCATCCGACTGTGGCCCGAAGATTATTCCAAAATTGCCCCGTCATGATAAAAATTTATATATGTGTGGGATGACACAGATCATCAAAAAAGTAAAACAGTGCAATTTGAATATGAAAACTAGACATATACCAACAAACAAGTAAAATCTTTTAAAAAATGTTAAATATGTAATACCACTTCAAAATTGGAAAAGTTGGGTAGTGTATCTATTGCCAAGATTGCGACAAAACATGAAAAAAACCATGTGTTAATATAAGAGTAACAGGGAAATAATTGAATTTTCTTGTATACAATATCGAAACATAGAATTTAATTTTCGCACTAATTTGATTTTGAAAACTCGTCAATTTTAGACAAAGAGCGAAGAATACATGCTAGACTAATCTCTGAAGCCTTATTTATGAAAATTAAAAAAACACGATAATTTCAAATCAAGAGTGCAATATATGTACCACTCCATGTGGCCATAATCTGAATAAAATAAAAAAAATAAACATGATACGGTGAGTCTTTCTCTACATTTGTATTATGACTATGTTACTAATAATTTTATCATTAATAGATTTTATTGTCATTGTAAAAAATATTTTTGTTGTATTTAGAGAACCGATGTACCTGAAGATGCGAACAATAAGTTCGGGAAACGTTATTGAAATAAAAAATATTTCTATAAAATTACATAAAATACAATTTACTGATTATTTTTTTAAATAATTGAAATGATTGTCTTAAACCTTCAGATATTGAATACACGCCTCTCTTCATTGTGCTCGGAATCTTACCATTGCCTTGCCTATTTACGAATCTGTAATTTTTGTCAAAACTGACTTAAATACTGACATATTTTCATGCAATACTGATATTTATTATTACAACACGTCGTGGAAATCACATTCATCAAGTGACTGTATCAACAGCTCACTTCCAGAAATCCACATACATGTACGTTACTTTACAACACATTGCCAGATGACATTAAACAATTGGAAGTCGGTACACAAGTTTAAGTTAAAAGTAAACTCTTTTCTGCTGCATAACTGTTTCTATACAATTAGAGACCATACTGTTTATCAAAAGAAACATAATGTTTATTTTAACAAAACAGTGATATATTAAATTCGTTTACATTTGTATGGCATATTTTTTTAAATAATTCACATTGTAACGTTTAGCTCAGTCGGGTCGCTGGTTCATTCCTATAATGAATTGATGGAACAGAACGAAGGTTATGAAAATATCTATTGAATCATTTCATTAATTGGGCAAAAATTAATTTATTCCTGACAACATTTACTGCCAGGGAAGTTACACGTCGCAAGAGAGCGACAAAGACTGCCTACCAACTTTACGCAATGAGTCCATGGATCTAATAGCTAGGAAGAAACATCTTAACGCTAACATTGTGCTTTTGTCTACAATAATTCGTGCGTTGTTAAGTAATAAAAGTCTGCCTGAGCGCGGTAACGTTGAAACGTTCGTCCGAATACCCAGCGAGGGAACACCGTGACGTAATCAGGGGAGAGAGTTCATCTTCGGTTAAATACCAGATTATCACCGCTGGTGGTTGGTGCTTCCGCAGACCGGCTGGATGGCTGTCCTCGTCTCGTCATTTCACCTTCGCTTTGGCGAGGGCTTGTGGCGACGGCGGGGCGGTAGTCAGGTCACCGACTCCCCATTCGGCTCTTCTCAGCTGGCGGCGTGGTGCGACTCGGAGTCGTCAATGGCGGGTGGGCTCAGACTCAGCTCGAGGACACACGGGCGCCGGGTGGGCGTAATGCGGGCTTCAATGGGCCCGAGACCGTACTGTGCGGCGAACGCAGATTGACGCGTAGTCTGCGTGGGTCTTAGGTTCGGTGAAAAATCGCACTCGGTGGCAAAGTTCAGTCCTACGAGCCGAAATTAACAATGTTCCTCACTCCACCGAGTCTTTGCTAAGAGCCACGTCTTTTCTACTACAATTTCTCTCTACTCAGCTTCCGGCCGAGCTCGCCTCCGTTTCCCCCTCCCGAAAACGTCTCAGGACCCATAGCGTTGCCCCCTTCCCTCACAGGGAGATGTGTCATAGGCCGAAACCATATGCGTCGCAATTTTGTCACCCAATCGGGACGCACTGTACCTGGAATTTTCCAGGGCGATCTCTTTCTCTCTCTCTCTCTCTCTCTCTCTCTCTCTCTCTCTCTCTCTCTCTCTCTCTCTCTTTCGCTCTCTCTCTAATTCTGGAAGCATCTCTTGCAGTTACCCGAACACGTGTTCTGGCGGCTTTGTTTTCGGAAACAATCCTTCGGCGCGTGATTGGCAGCCTGCAACGTACGAGCTATAAAGAATACCTCTGGAATTTCCGTAAGTGTTGTAGGGAGATTCCTTGCGCGGGCGCGTGGCGAATATGCCGGCAGGCGGGGTCTGTCTCCGGTCCACGACGCGGGAGGTCATTGTTTTGCTAAGTGCGCAGGGGCTCCCCGAAGAGGGGGGAAGGTCTTCCCTGCGGATTGGCAGCCAGAGACAACTATCTTAATATTAAATTAATATAGTATAATTTAGTGACGCCACAATAAGTTTGTAACAAATAATGTACTTCAGCTTCCGGGTCAATGACTCCCCAACTCATTCAGGTTTTTGGCCAGTTTCCCTGATCCATTCAGTAAACGCTGAGATGGCCCCTTGTTTCGCTCCGGGCATAAATGTAGCTATACTGGGTGTTCTTGAACTCTCGCTTGCTTGTAGTAGTAAGAGTGAGTTGCTATTTTGTTTGCAATACAGAGGGATTAATTCTGGAGTTCGTTTGCCGATGCAAGTTAGTTTTCTATAAATCGGGAATGGAAATGTCTAGTTTTTACAAATGTTGGTAATGTCGTGATTTTTAAAATGTTATTATTATTATTGTTATTTATTTTTTACCTTTTATTCGTCGTTCAACTATTTATTGTTGAAATGTTGGGAAGGGGTTCTGGAACTAACGAAAACGTGATCAGTTGATCTTCTCCCCAATACGTCACATACAGTTTTTACTGTGTTTTAATAAATAAAAAATAACACGTTCACTGAAACCGAGGTTCATTACATCCGATAATCCAAATATAAAATAATTTCTCCATGACGATTGATTTTGTAAATATAAAGAGAGAGTACTAGCAAACATCTACTCATACCGTACAAATCCCGAAAAAAATTAAGTAATCAATCTACTCATCTCGGATTAAAAATTTTAAATTATTTATTTAGCCTTGAAAAATATGTTTTTTAGAATTGCTTATCCATTTTTTATTAATACTCTTTCTAGCACCTCAGGAGTTCGTCTCCATATTTGCCTTTGTATTATCCGCAATCTCCTAGCATCGTAATGCAATCGTCGCCCTTTTCATCGCTTCGTGCACTTTTTTCTACTTCCTCCTTACACAATTTTCTGCCGACTGAGCGTTCTAGATGTTCTTGTGAGAAGGTACGTCGCTAGTTATCACTTCGCAGTCGGCATCGATGAAATCTTCATGCTCTACAGAATTGCCATTTATCAGATCAAGCAATCCCCTCAATGGTATGTCTGTCCTCGTCATCAAATGTTGCACGTCCAATTATCAGACCAGCAATACAAGTTCTGCTAAACAAACGCACAATGTTTTTTAAAACGCACATGGTTTTCTAAAAGGTAGCACACACGTCTATAGAAAAACACAACACTCTTATAACACGTAATGCATTATACATTGTATCAGATATACAGGTGTCCCATTTAACTTGACAACTTGAAATAACAAAAAATACGCGATGTACGAAAAATTAAGCCGAGACCAAATTTAACAGTTCTCAAGGGGAGACCATTCTACGCTAAAATCAGCACCGCCCCCTGCTCCCAGCGGGTGGGGCGGTGGGCAACATTGAAATCTTAAATAGGAACCTCCATTTTTTATTTCAGTTTCGGATTGTACAAACAAAAATACATAAGTTTTGTCTGATTTTTTTTTCTGATTTGTGATCGGTGGAGCTGTAATCGCAAAAATTTAATTTCCGAAGATTTCCGATTGTAATTGAAGTGGTTTTGAGTGTGGCCTCAGGGCACACACATCATTTCTTTGGTAGCGAGTCTCCATGGTCCGTGCCTACAGTACTTACTACATAGGCGATCCGATATTTA